ATTCTGGCCAGACCGCCTGGCTCTCCTATCAGCTGACCAGAGCCACAGAACCGGGGCTCTTCACCGTGGGACCCCACAATGGAGAGATCAGGACCACTCGGCTGTTTCTGGAGAAAGACGCCCTGAAGCAAATCCTGGTGGTTTTAGTGAAGGACAACGGCCAACCGCCTCTCTCTGCCTCAGTGACTCTCACTGTTGTTCTGGCTGACAACATCCCTGAAATTCTCTCAGATCTGAGCAGCATCTCAGCTCCTGTAGGTCCTCAGTCAGATCTCACTTTCTACTTAGTGATTGCAGTAGCTTTTGTCTCCTGCTTATTCTTTATCTTCCTCCTTGTGCTACTGACAATTAGAGTGTATAGATGGAGAAATTCACAGATGGAGTCTGGGAGGATAAATTTCAGTGGTGTACCTGCCTCACAATTTGTAGGCATCAATGGAGTCCGAGCATTTCTTCATTCTTACTGCCATGAGGTTTCTCTGACTGCAGATTCTAAGAGAAATCAGTTTAATATTTCCACAGCAAATAATTCAGATACTCTGAGCATTAAACAAGTTTATGAAGCAAAGGATCCAATTGTATCGGGTGAAGATTTAAATTTGAATAATGATGATCTAACAGTAATTCAGGTAAGGCAGTTATTTTAAATCAATCTGATTTTTTTGTTCTGATGTGCACTTATCTTAACATATGTTAATTTTTCTCTGCTTTACAAAATGTTATTGATTTCTCTATTATTATAAGTATCACATTCTCCATTCTTTAACTTGGAGAAATGGTAGACTGAGTTTTCAGCAAGTTCAGTCTTACACAATTTGTTAAATATAATCATGTTTCATTGAACTCAACGGGACAAACCTTTGAACAGAACAGGACTGTGCTGTATATCTCATTTTACAACACAGATAATTCTCAGAGAATTAGCTGTTTACTTTAGTTGTATTATGTTCAGCAATAAAACTCCACTGCCATTTTTAAAAGAGATCTCTCAAAAATTAAGTATCAGGCCTATGTGAAACTTCTCAGATTTGACTTTACTTGAAGATATAAGATTCAAAGAAGGCATTATTCAATCCATATTTGCAATTTGTGATTCAAAGGGCAAACTGATTTAAAGTCTTTGCTGTTCCAAGAATTTAGATTTGATTATATCTGTCCATCCATCCATCCATAGGATTTAATAGAGAAGCATCAGAAGGTCTCCAGGGTTTGAGGTAAATGAGGAAAGAGGTAAAATAGCAACAATAGTAGACCATTTATAAGACATGAACCCTGCAGGGTTTCAGCTAGATATATCCAAATTTCAATAAATTGTTGAAACATACTATCTTTTTCAAGGCAGATATAGTGATATATCTATAGTGATATAGTGATATACTGTAGATATAATGAAAGTGCAAAGAGCTGGCTCCAAATTGTCCAGCAAAAAGCCAATAGAGAAGTTGTGCTGAACTAACAAAAGAAGTGCCCCATTAGAACTTAAAACATTCAGAAACATTTCAAAAAGTATGTTCCTACTTTTCCACTTGGTTTTCTGTGGCCCAGGCTTGTCATTGCACTGCAGAATGCCCATTGACTTGTCCTTGGCAAATTTCCCTGCCTTACATCATTTTAGGGGATGTCTGGAGAATTGGATGCTTGTCCTCTCCTGGGGAAGACTTTCTCATCACTGGTCAGGCTAGGCAGCCATATTGGCAAAGCTTGGCTTCTTCTGGGCAGGGCTCATTTGTCAGGGCCTGATTTGCTGGCAGTACTCTATATGAATTAATTAGTTAGCAGAGGTGAGACACAATGCCCAGAAATAGGCAACCACAGAGAGAGAAAAACTGCCATATAGGAAGTGGCATTCACTTGCCCTCCTTGTTTCCTCAAAGTAGTAAACATTTGGGCCAGTGCCTGTAAAGCTGGCAACCATTCATTTATTATCAGCCTGACCCAATCGTGCAGAATTTAAAGGTAAGGCATAACCCAATGAATTATTTGGCCTTGAGCTCATATGCAGAGCACTGAGAGCTGAAGTGAACTCACAGTTGCGTTGGCAGGACTGGTACTGGAATGTAACTGCCCATTTGCTCAAGAGAGATCAAAATTAAAGTTGGTGGCTAGCATCCTGAAGGAAGTCGAAAGTAAATGAAGCCTGAAACAGTCTTAGCTTGTCATCCAAAAGGCCTCTGATAGGAGGGCTGTCAAAAAAAAGTCAAGTTGGTGGCTACGACTGCGGCACTGAAGCCCTACCAACACATACAGAAAAGGGGCAGGACTTTGATCACCTGGCTGTGGTTGCTTTCTTAACTTTTGATTCCCCCTCTGCAGAACCCCCCACTTGATAATGTAAGAGACTGTGGGGAGAACCAGGCAGAGTAGTTTGATGGCTGTGCAGTGGAGCCCTGAGGAGGGGATGTTGGAAGGAAATGTTTAAAGGAGATTCCGCCTTAACTGACTTACTGTAAGTCTGCCTGGGAACATACTTTACAGTTTATATGTAAACTGTATGTAAACATATGATGTTTATATGTTAAAGATGCCTTGCTGAAATCTGGGTAGGTCTTGCTTGAGTTTGCCAGCCATGTGGGGCTTGACAGATATGCAGAGTTTAATTAGGCAAAAAAGTTCATTATGTTCTTAATTATATCAAGGTTGGACAGCTAATTGTTTTCTTATATCTGTCAACATTAACCATGTCATGAAGCTTCACCATTGTAGCTTGTCTATAGCAATGAAAGAAAACCCTGAAAACCCCCTGAAACTGATTTTAATATAGATTCTTGACAGTGCAATCCAATATAGCCCAATACTTCACAGTCAGATCAAAATTCAGTGCAGCATCCTATTTCCAGGGGTAGCAATAAACTATAAATAGTAAACTATAAAATGAGTACATAAATAAGTTTAACTACCCCTTACATTTATAATCAGACAAAGTACTTAAAGCAACTCAGATGGAACAGCCCAGTCTTTGATTGCAGAGCACTCTGGGTTTGGATACTCCACAATCTCTGAAACCAGAGATGTCCAGAACCTTTGGCCCCAGGACCTTAGACAACTTCTAAAGCCTCAGGTCAAGCCTTGCAGCTGCTCTAAAACTGCCATCAAATTGAATGTAACAAAAGGAGGAATATTTTAAATGGGGAGTAATCTTATGTAACTACATTTAATTAAGAGCCAATTTGGTGTAGAGGTTAAGGCATCAGGCTAGAAACCAGGAAACTGTAAGTTCTAGTCCTGCCTTGGGCACAAAGCCAGCTGGGTGACATTGGGCCAGAGTCTCTCTCTCAGCCCTAGGAAGCAGGCAGTGGCAAACCACTTCCAAAAATCTTGCTAGGAAAACTGCAGGGACTTGTCCAGGCAGTCACCAGGAGCCAATACTGACTCAAAGGCAATAATAATAATAATAATAATAATAATAACAACAACAACAACAACCACAACAATCACCACTACCACCATCACCACCACCAATATGAATTTAAGTCAAATTCAACTTTGTCAAAAACCCCATGTACTCCTTGGCTTAAAATGGTCCTTCCTTGTTTTACAGGTTGCTTTGAGAGTTGGGGAATGAGAAATTGACTGGGACTTATGTGTGCTCTCCTCTACTCACTTCCCCTCAAGCAAACCTAAAATGACAAGCATAAACAGTTCCAGCTGCATTAGTAAAGGCACACTTAGCTGTACATTTAGTAACACAGACAAGCAAAGGAATTTTTGTAATAAATATGAGTTTATAGGTTTTTTCTGTTTTTGAAAAAGATGGAGGTACCTAAACACTGGGATACTGTTGGCATTTCAGAGGTGGAGGCTACTTCCTGTTATTGCTGCAATTTGCTACCCTTGCGAGTATTGATTCTTTCTTTCTTTTAATGTTGGAGTCTTTACTGGAAATCGCTGCTCTTTTGTTGTTGTTGTCATACAGAATGAAACATTAAAAACTGAGGATGCTTGTCTCAAATTCCTTCAGTTGTATCTATTTCAGCTCAGTGCACATGCATTTGTTGGACAATTCTGATGTCATATATTTGCCTTCTAATAGTCTTTGTCATGGTAGTGGTAGATACAGACCTTCATTAGCCCTGCAAGACAAAAATAAGTACATCTGCTGCTATTCAGCTGAGGTACAAGTTGCACAAACTGATGGCGGACCAGGTGCCTCTTGAGACCAAAGGATAATATTCCAAAATAAGATTACTTCTTGACTTTGTTCAATTTATGGAGTAAAAAGACTACACAACAGTTTCATTGATTATTACAATCTGCCCTCTACCAAGCTGTAGACAACCAAGACGGTACTCAGCTGAATTTTTACAAAATCAGCTGATTTTTTACAAACTGAACCTGTGCAGATGTCTGAAGTTATTCAAGATACTGCAGCTTCTTTCAGTGTGCGTATCTGTTCATTGTAGCTATCCATATTTGGTAAAGAGTTAGACCACCATGGTGGCAGTAAATAAGGGTAATAGGAACATCTGGCAAATTTTGTCTTCCACTATAGAAAACCATAGAGCTTTCTTGTCTGATAGTTTGCCATCTGACTGCTTTGTTTAAAGTAATCACATATCCTTTTAGGGAAGTCCATGATAGAAGACTGGTTGTTGAGTCATGAGGAATTGGTTGGGCATCTGGAGGATAAAACCATTCAGGTTTGCTCAGAAAGGGATACTATCTGGCAAGTCCTATAAAGGTGACTGAGTCATCATCTTGCAGGGTTACCTGGATAGAGTCTGAACCTGTTAGTCCTGAGGAAGAGGACAGGCTTCTTTGCAACATCAATTCCATTCACCTATCTCTGTCCTTCTTGGTTTCTGAAAGTCCTCAGGGTGGCGTCAGGGTGCTGGATTAGGGTAGTTATGAATGCATCCCTGACTGAAGGGATGGTATCACCAGACTTGAAGGAATCAGTTGTGTATCCCCCCTCCATAAGCTCTAGGGGTCTCCATCGTGAGAACTCAATATTCTCTCCCCTTTTATTTAGCATGTATATGAAGCCTCTGGAGAAAGCCTTCCAGTGGCATAGTCATGTATAATCAATATGCTGATGATAACTAGTTATGCATCTCACCCCTGAGCCCAACAGACAATGCAGTTGAGGTTTGTCCTGATGCCTGGAGGCTGTTAAGGATCTAGATTAGAACAAACAGACAAGCTTAAACCTAGCAAGACAGAGTAGCTTTGGGTTTAGAAACCTTATGATTCCAAAAGTATTCCATCTTTGATCCTGCATGGGGTTGCACTTCCCTGTACAAAGCTGGCCCAAAATCTGGAGGTTCTCAACGAGCTGGTATCAGCTGTTTCAGCAAGAATTTGAGGACTGAAGGATGAAATGAATCCCTCCTGCAGGAGAATGTTTGTTCATTAAGTTATATTCCTGGTACTATACTTTATTTTCTTTTTAAATTTATTGTTATTGTTGTTTCATAATTGCTGTTATTACAGTTAGTGTGTGTATTTTATTATAACTAAATGGTGGTGTGTAAGCTGCTCAGAATATATACATTCCTTGCCCAGAGTCACTTCCTCGTCAGATGGACGGTGGCCAAATTTGTAATATAAAAATAAATAAGAGAAGAATATATAAAAATATATTTTGAAAAGTCAGCAATAGTCAAGGAAATAAAGGTCAGCAAAAGTAAAGAAATAAATTATATTTATATATATTATACAAGGAAAGATAAAGGTTCAAAGCCTTTCTGCTAAGTGTCTCTACATCTATTGTTCCTAGTGGTCAATAGGTTTATTAGAAGCAGAAAGGCAGTGCTTGCAAAGGTTTACATAATGATTGGTTGGTAGTCCCATCATTATGCAACTTGCCTCTGGAAGTTCAGACAACCCTCACATTATTGACTTTTAGGAATGCTATTAGAAACAGTCTTGTATCACTGGCTGTTAGGGATCACAGTAGCCTTTAACAGTAATTGGCTTTAACAATCATTCAATTCTTTTATTCTACATGTGACCTGATGCTTTCAAACTGAATTTTAACTTGGGTCTTTCTGTTATGGGGGATTATGGGGTTTTTATGTTTGTTTATTGTTATAAACTGCTTGGAATCCTGTGATTCAAAATAGTATAAATATTGTAGTACATACATAAAATGGAGAAGTGGCTGTAACCATCAGAAGGCAATCAAGTTTTAGAAGTGGCTCTAGTCCTGGTGTTATAAAGATTTGTTACAAGGTATTCCATGTCAAGCAGTTTGGAAACACCAACAAAGAAGCTGATTTAAGGCAAGGAAACATCCCTTTCCTTTCCTTTTTTTCCCCCCAACTTTGGTGAATAAAAGTGGCTGTCTTCAAACTTAATCACAGATTTCAGGAATTAGCAAAAGATAAGGAAGCTCATTCTTCCCAAATATGATTTTAATTTTTATTGGATTCTTTTTTTTCTTATTTCCAATTAGTTACATTTTATTTCTATTGTTTCATTTGCTATAGAGATTTAAATTTAATTATTCCAAATAAGGGGTATACCTATTTCTTGCCCAATCAGAACCCCAATGAAATCATTTTATCACTTTTGGGGGGAGGGGCTTAACATTGTAAAATCCAGAACACCTGGGCCACTTTATACCAGAGTTCATCCTGTGATTGTTTTTGCTAGACACATTACCATTGCTATTATTATTATAATGTCATTTCTATTGTTATTGTTAGCACCATAGATCTCAGGCCAATGCACATCAAGAAACTCATTTCAGTACGTATTTGAGGAAAGGCTATTTAGGACTTTAGACTAACAGGAAATCCCAGGGCTGTACCCTAGCCTGGCAAGAAGAATTGCTGGAAGAAGGTAGTAAGAAACCCCTCCTGTACTGTTCCCAAGAAAACAAGACAGACACATCCATGTAGTCATAGGCGTTGAACTTAGCTCATGGAAGACTCTGATCTTGAGTCTACACCAATACTTTGAAATAGGTTTGCAATAGGCACCCAGTGCAAATCACCAAGAATAGGTGCAATAAAGCTGTGACCATATCCGTGAAAAAATAGCCAACACAGCATTCTGCACTAGCTGAGATCTTTGAACTGTCTTCAAGGAAAGTGACTGATTTTTACCATTGCAATATAAGCTTGTGATTTTCCCATGGCCAAAAACTTTATCTTAGCACTTGTGGGTTTTCTTTTTTCTTTTTCTTTTCTTTTCTTCTGGCAGGAGAAATCTTGTAATAGTTTCTTATTACAAGAATAATACCTTTCGTATGTAATAAGGACCATTTTCATGCGCATTATTCCTCCTGAATTTGATAAGCCATTGGCTCCCTTGTATGGATTGTTGCTGTTTTTAATCTGCTTTACTCTTTCTTTTAAAATGTGTTTGTTTTCTTGTGAACTGTAACTGTCCTGGTTGTATTATTTTTTTAATAAAAAATGGGATAGATTTTTTTTTTTTAACAAATGGTACCAAATATATCATTTCTACGACCAAGGATATTTCTGTAGTTTTGGATTGAGCCTCTGGGTGTCACTATTTACCACTGAGGAACAAAAATGTAAGTATGAGCCACTCCAGCTTTGTCAATACATTAAAGCAAACCAATACTGAGACCAGGCTGATGGCAGTGAAGCAGAAGCACATTTTGCTTACGAACCTGGATACAATATATTTTCAACTGGAACTTGAGCACAAAGGAACATCAGCAGTCAGTAAGTACTATCAAAAGAACTTTTAACCCTGAGTGGATGTTATTTTTACTGTAGCAAAACAATGAAGAAAACTAAGAGACTATGGAATTATGAACAGAGGGTTCTGCAATACTTTATCATGATGATTGTTTGGAAAGCAGTTTCTGGGCAGATCCATTATTCCATTCCTGAGGAAATGCCAAAAGGTTCTTTTGTGGGGAATATTGCGAAGGACCTAGGAACAGATGGGAAACAGCTTTTAGATCATGGACTTCGTATTGTCATTAATACAGGTACAATTCAGTATTTTGCTTTGAATGTCAACCGTGGCCATTTAGAAATTTCTCAGTTAATAGACAGAGAGGAAATATGCAGAGAGACAGAAAAATGCATAATAAAATTCCAGATCCTTATTGAAAGTAAACTAAAGCTTTATGGAATAGAAGTAGAAATCACAGATGTAAATGACAATGCTCCTCAATTTCCCTCAAAGGAATGGACAATGAAAATCAGTGAGATATCAGCATTAAAAGAACAATTTCCTCTACCAAAAGCTCAAGACCCAGATCTGGGGATAAACTCTGTACAAAATTACCAACTCACAGGTAGTAACCATTTTTCTCTGGAGATGCAAAGAGGTGAAACTGGTGCCAGATATGCTAAACTGGTGTTGGAAAAATCACTGGACAGGGAAGAGCAGTCAGTTTACGATCTGATCCTTACAGCTGTCGATGGTGGCGATCCCATCAGGTCCAGCACAGTGCAGATTCACATCATTGTTCTAGATGCAAACGATAATGTACCCGTTTTCAGCCAACCAATCTATGAAGTGAATCTCAAGGAGAACATGCCCAAAGGGTCCACAGTAGCTGCAGTAACAGCCATTGATATGGATGAAGGAATCAATGGAGAAATAAAATATTCTTTTGAGGAATTAACCAAGAAGAATCAAAAAATGTTTCTGTTAAATTCGACATCAGGGGAAATTATCCTTGTGGGGAGCCTTGATTTTGAAACATCGTCATCATATGAATTCGAAGTGCAAGCCATGGA